CACATCCCGAGCAACTTATCAAGGTATTTATGCCACTAAAAACAGATTCCTTTCTGGGATGTGTCTTAGTCTATTAGGGCTGCTATAACTAAATACTATAGGCTGGCTAATTTATAAACAACAGAAACTCATGGATCACAGTTCTCGAAGCTGTGAAGTCGAAGTTCAAGATACCAGCATGGTTGCTTTCTGGTGAGGGTCAGCTTGCAGGTTCATAGCTAGTGTATTACTGGGTAGAAGGGGCTGAGGAGCTCTAAGGGGGCTCTGTTATGAGAGCACTAATCCCATTCATGAGGGTTCCACTCTCATGAACTAATCCCCTACACCATAGTCCCAACCTACTATACCATCACATTTGGGGGTTAGGATTTCAACATATGAATTTGTGGGAGGACATAACTTCAGATCATAGCAGGATGCTTCTATTGTTAAAAAAATAAAAAATCCCTATCATTACCTAAAACTTGAGAACTGAGGAAGTTAAACTCCTGAAGTTGATTATTTAGTGCTTCCTTTGTGATATACTGTTCAATTCTTTCCCAGGTCCAGGTGGAAAATGCCATTGGCCTTGAGAAGTGCTGTACTAATTATCTCTTCCAGAGCTGCTGGCCCACTATGGTTCTCTTCCTGAAAGGCAAGTCCTTTTTATTATTTTTTTCTTTACATTTCTAAAAAGTGGGAATATTATAAAATATGTGTAAATCTATGTTTAATTTGTCATTTATCACTGAAAATATTCCTTCTGTGTCATATGCATGAAGCCTACTCCCAGTAGTCTTCCGGTTAATCTTCTACAGTGTTTTGGCCTGATGCCTAGGGAAGTTCTCTCAGAGCTGTTTCCACACTGGTCGTGGGGGATGTATTGTTTGAATGCACCATCAGTCTCACTACCACTCCTTCTTTCCCAGGTGGCAGCAGGTTGAGCTTATGTCACCATTCATCCCAGGTGGCAGCAGGTTGAGCTTATGTCACCACTCATCATCATTATTAACATATTTTTATGTGGGCATATGAATGGTACTATGGGGATTTTACATAAATATGGAAAATATGGAAGAGTGTGGTTCATGCCCTTGAGGATGTTAAAATTAAATTAGAGACAGTTACCTATGCAATGCTTAATCATGTCATGTGGTGACCATTTGTTGATGCTCCTATGCCATATTTCCACAGCATTAGTGTTTTCAAAATGGCTCAGTCAACTCCTGCCAAGATATGCAAAAACAACTAAATGAGGAGCTTTTTCCGAAATTTTTTTCCTATTTCTGCTACCAAATTCATCTAACAAACAGAAATAAGTCTTTGAGTAAGTGCCATTTGCCTACTGTGGAAAACACTTTATTTGGTGGCAATGTTGAAATATCCAATAGGGATCATAGTTACTTACTGCAGTAGAATCAAGGAATCCTGTTTCCCCCTTCAAAACCAATGGAAAAGTTGCTACTTACCCTAGGTATTCTTTCTTTGTAAGGACAATGACAATGCATTCTCTTTCAGGGTAGTTCAGATATTTCTCAACTAGCAAAGTGGTTTAATCCTCCAGTTTAACTGCTCAGGTGAGAGGGCCCTTTTGCATCTCAAAGAAACCTTTGTGGCAATATTTTTCGCAAATAAGTAACACACTAACTCTATTGTTAATATTGTTTTAAACTAGTCTTTGGGAAGAGAGAGAGCAAGGCATTTCTAACGGTAAAAATTAATGTTTATTTATCAAAAATCTCCACTTAAGATCATGTACTCAAAGCTGATGTGCTGTATGTTTTAAAATTTTAGGTTATATAGAGAGAATATTTTCCATTCATGAAGTTACCTTTGGTAGATTTTTAAAGTCCAACTTCCACAGGATCAGACTCTCCTCCTTGGAGATGTTCTTGAACCAGTAGTTAGTTTTACAAGTCTCATAGTTGAAAATTTTCTGTTGAATAATTATTCTGTTATCACAATGACTTTTTATCCTGTATAGATGTTGTCATAATTCTTTATTGGCCTTATTGAAAAAAGATATATATAATTGTATTTAATATAAACACATTTGTGTGTGCTTGTGTGTGAAAATTAATTAGGCAAACAATGGAACCCTGTTGAACCATTCACATTAAAATGCAGGTAAATAGGAACATGTATGAATATATAAACATATATGTTAGTATGAGAACTATCAGAGATTCACTGAAGCACAACTGAGTCAACATTTAATATCTTGTTTTTTTCCTAAATTTTTTGAATCTTAAAATATCTTAAAGGTGGGAAGTACTCAGACTCAATATTTTACCAGTGACTTTCAGAGAGCCTGAAACAGGGTTTATGAAGAAGCCAAGTGTTATGATTTTCTTTAAGCAGCAGCTAAAGTTACATGGATAAATATACTATTAGTGTTTGTGTTATTGCTTACTATTGACTAGGTCTCTTCATTATACTCCTAAGAATCATGTACTTAAACAATAGAAATAACAGCAATAGCATAGCATCTGTTTGTTTACCAACAGGCAGATCAATCCTGGAGCACAAGACTTTAAATATGCATGAGACAAAAAAATGACTGACTGGGTTATTAGTATTCCAATAAAATGTCCACAGCTAAAAGCAGGAGAAATGCACACATTTTTAATAAGTTTTGAAAGGCCAATTTGGCTGATATCAATGTACATTTGAAGGCTATTGCGTTCCTTTTTTTTTTCTGTGCTTGTTTCATTTTTCTGTATAAAGAAAAAGTAAACCAGCATGTAGTTAAGAGGAGCAGTGGGTATTGACATTCAGACAATTTGTGTGTTCTTACAAATGTGTTTGTTTGATTACAACTGCTTCAAAAGTAAAGTATCCCAGATTTTCAAAAGTTTATTTTAACTTTGAAGACTAGACAAGGTCATACTGATTTTACAACATCCTACATGATTTAAGTATATATACAAAGAAAAAAACCCAACATTAGAATATTACACAGCTTGAAAGTTTGCAAAGGTTATTTGTGTCTTGGTTATTTCTGTACTTACTGACACATCAGATGCCAGCAGTGAATATTATATTTCATAATTTGTTGACTGACTAGTAAAGATACAATCATTAGTACCCTAAGTCTTCAAAATTCACATAGACCCTTACGAAGCCATTCAGAAAGAGAAAGTCAACCCTAAAACTCGAATTAGTGATTCTGATAAATGCTTTTAATAAGACATAGATAAACTGGATATGTTTAAAATTGTAATTTCATAGATTATAAAATTAGCATATTATAGTTACTCAATATGGTGAAGGCTAGGTGATTCTTCTGTGCCTTGTTCTTATGAGATTTTCCTTGTTTTACTGTGAATTTAAATAAATTTGCTTCACTTTGTCATTGATACAAATGACACAAAAGCTACATACAATTTCACAATAATTATTAACATTTCCAGATGTGGGAATCCCTTTGTTGTCATTAATTTGGGGCATCATGGGATAAAGAGATATCCCATGATATGTCATGTTGGTGAAAAACATATAGAGCAGAGAGAAAATGCACAAGCAACAGAAAGCCATTTGTATGTATTTCTAAAAGGCAACAAAATTTTAATAAACTCCCTTTGAAAATTTTTTTTGAAAAACTACCAATAAAATAAAATTTAACTACTAATAAAATAAAATTTAAAGCAAACATCATAAGAAGCCATGAATAATTTTGAGAAAGTAAATCATTACAAAAAATTACTCATAATTTTAAAAACTCTGAAAAGAATCAAGAATTGTGCATAACCTGCAAGAGAAAATGGCTAGAAATTTGGTGGGACAGTAAATCTTTAAAGAAATAAGGGCCATTGGCTACATAGTGAGTGTGTGTATAGCTTGGGACCTAAGCAATTATTTGTAACACGACCTTAAAATTTAGCAAATTAAAAATACTTAAATTCCTAATTTAAAGTTATCTTAAAAAGATGATATTGATGGCATGGCAATTTTGTTTTTGAAAGAAAGATGCTAAAAACTGATCACCATTTCAGATGCTTCAAATCAACAATTTTATAATAAGAGCCTGAAGTAGAAAGCATGTGGGCATAGGACAAATACATGGCCAGCCAGTCCTAATTTTGCTCTTATTAAAAATGCCATTATGATTGATTGACTTTCTCTTTAAATTCACTATGATTGAAGCCCACTCCATATATACATCATCAAGAAATGCTGTTAACACATGGACAGACAAGACAGTAACATTCTAGTGGCTTCTGTTATGCAGCACAAATAATAAGGAAAAAAAGAACTTAGCAGTGTTGCAGAGGACGTCAATGTTTTGTACACATACCATACTTTCTTTTTCAGGACACAATTTAAAACCCCAGTAATTCTGAGTCTAAGCCTTATAAAACAAATACTTGTAAAGCTTATAAATTAGATGTTGAGGACTTTCATGGAGGCAGTGTGAGCCTTAATTTGAGAGAATGGCAATGAAACCTCATTATCAATAACAAATCATTATGATAATTGCTTATTATTTTTTCAGGACCTTTGAAGCAAAATAGATAGAAATCAATTTTCACCCTGAAAATGGTTTTTTCACTAGTAAACACTTCTCTTCTCACAAATGTCTATGCACTGTGCTTTCCTGAGAAACCACCACTAATTTCAAACCTCAATAAAATTCTAGTTTCACAGGAAGTGCAGAGATGAACAAAGAAATGATGAATATGCTTGGCCAAGTTATGCAGCACTATGTCAATATTTGCTAAAAAAAAAAAAGTAGACAAACAATTTTTCTATTATTTTAAAGATAAGGCTATGGAAATACCATCAAAACAAAGATTTAAATTTTGTCTTAAAGAAACATAATGTGATTTTGTTGTTAATTTTGCAAAATGGTAGTATTGAGGTCTTTATAAAGGAAATATTTGGAGATTACATAGTTATAGCTTCCTTCAAAAACAAGAGAATTGCAGATTCAATCTACTGATCATGTTTCATATATATACATATATATGTATATATATGTGTATATATATGTGCATATGTATATATACACACACACACACAAACATGATACTTCTTTTAGGCAAGTAATAGGACAAAAGTCAATTGGGAAAAGTATGGACTTATTCAGGCAATATATAATATATAGAATAGCACTAAGAGAAAGATCACATAATCTGATTAGAAATAAGATGAGAATTATAATTTCAGTTAGTATTGCATGTTACAGATTCTTCTTCAAATTTTGGTTATAAACTCTGACAGTGTTTGTCAGGCACAGGGAAATAATTAGGATAATATAGATTCATTGCAGAAGGGAAAAAAACTTATTGCTAACATTGCAGTATTCTTTTTATAAGAATGAGTATTGATTATGAAAGCTCTAACAACTCTTGCTTTTATTTGATAACTAACGATGAGATTTTTTTTACCCTTGCTATCAAGAGTGCTACTTTCTTTGCCTAATATATTTCAACCAGTATGAAGAAGTCAGAAAACAACGCGGAAAGTAATTCACAGCTAATGTGATGTTGCTTAAGAAATTTAAATGATAAAAATCAAATTAAACCTTGGAAAAGGCAGGCTTAGACCTCCTTAAGAAGACAGTTAATGGCCTACCGTAATTTGATCACTTTTTCATGAAAAATTCCATTCGGTTTCCGATAGATTTTGCAGAGTTCATTCCGTGGAGATACTTTTAGGGAAATAGGAGGGTTGTGGGCTGTGGGATCTCCTCACTCCTCCTCTGCGCAGCCCAGCAGCTCAGACCGCAGCGTGATCCTCCCATACCAGGACCAAGGAAGGATCCTTATGTGCCGTGCATAGATGGGAGGGTCGATGACGTTTTTTCTGTGGGTATCATTGTCAAAATTGCCCTGGAAAACCTAGTAAAGATGAACAGACTATCAATCATATGGCCTTTTTTTGGGGAATTATTTTTATTATTTTCTTGTTTGGATCATTTTTCTCATATGTGAGATCTGATAACTAATCATGTTATATTTTTCGAGACATAATGCAGCTTCTTTTTAATGATCATTTTTAAATTGACTAGCCAATCAATGTTTAAAGACTTAAATAAGTTGAAAATGTATTTCAACTGTCTGAGGCAGGAATACATAGATTTATCATTTTTATGTTTTTTTTTAAAAGGTCAGGTTTTTTTTTTTTTAATGGAACAGATATTTATTTTTTGCTTCTGTCACAGGCTGCTGTTGGTTAGACAGCTTGCTGAAGGTTGTCTCTTCTAAGGAGGGATTCAGAGATCCAGGCTGTTGCAAATTACCACCATTATCTGAAAACTGTGGCATCCACATTCACAATGGGCAACAAGAGAGAAAGCTGTTTGTTAGATTACACAGGATGTTTGAAAAAAACAGGTATGGAAGCAGCTTAAATCATTTCTGGATACATCTCATTGACCTTAACTAATTATATGACCTCAGCCCAACTGCAAAGGAGGCTGGGAAATGGAGAGGAGCATGTGGATATCTGGTGAGCATAACAGTCTCTATCACAATGTCTTTGGCTTACTTCTCACATAGAGAACAAAACCCATTATCAAGAGAGACAACCACAATCAGTGCTAGTAACTACTTTTTTCTTGCCTTATCTATTAATTCCTGGATCCATACAATACTCTTGTGACCATTGTGACCTATAATATTCTGACATGTTGGCATCCCATGACTTCTTCATACTTCTTTTGTTTCAATGCTTTTTTGAGGTGTTTATGTCCATTTTTGTCCCAAGAGGCTTTTACAGTAAACTTTGAGAAGTGCTTGCTTTAGAAAAAAATAAAATCGGCAGTTGGCTGTTGGCACAGTGTGTAGTAGTGGCGTGTGGTCTGAATGACTGAGTTTTTCATATGTGCTTACTTTTGCTGTGAGCAATTGGACTGCACCTAGACCCAGACTAAAAGGTACACCATCTCCCCTCCTTCAAAGAATCATCATCCAAGGACCTACCAGAGACCACAAGAAAACATGGGGAGAAGCTATCAGCATACATTTGACAAAAATTGAAGTTAATAAGGATGGAGACAAGATGGCAGAGTAGAAGGATGTGAGCTCACCTCTTCTTATGAAAACACCAAAATCACAGCTAACTGCTAAACAACAACTGACAAAAAAACCAAAAAACAAACAAACAAAAACCTGCTGGAACCTACCAAAATGGATATCCTACATCCAAAGACAAAGAAGAAGCCACAATGTGAGGAGGAGCCTGTGAGACTCTGGTTTTGAAGGCCAGCAGGATTTGACTGCAGGAATTCCATAGGACTGGGGGAAACAGAAACTCCACTCTCAGAGGATGCACACAAGGTCTCGTGCACACAAGGACTCAGGGGAGAAAGGAGTGACCTCCAAAGAGACTGGGCCAGACCTACCTGCTAGTATTGGAGGGTCTCCTGTGGAGGCAGAGGGTGACTGTGGCTCATTGCCAGGACAAAGACACTGGCAGTGGCAGCTCTGATGAGTACTCATTGTGTGAGCCCTCCTGGAGGCTGCCATTTCCTCCTTACACCTAGCCTTACCCAACAGCCTGTAGGCTCCAGTGCTGGGTCTCCTCAGGCCAAACAACCAACAGGGTGGAAACACAGCTCCACCCATCAGCAGACAGTTTGCTTAAAGTCTTCCTGAGCACAGCCCTGCCCACCCACCAGTGGTCAGGATCCAGTCTCTCACACCAGGAAGCCTGCACAAGCCTCTTAGACAGCCTCATCCACCAGGGGGCAGAGAGCAGAAGCAAGAAGAATTACAACCTTGCAGCCTGCAGAATGGAAAATGCAATCAAAGAAAATTAGACAAAATGAGATGGCAGAGGGATATGTCCCAGATGAAGGAACACGATAAAACCCCAGAAGAACAACTACGTGAAGTGCAGATAGGGAATCTACCCAAAAAAGAATTCAGAGAAATGATAGTAAAGATGATCCAAGATCTTGGAAAAAGAATGGAGGTACAGATAAAAAAGATGCAAGAAATGTTTGTTTAACAAAGACCTAGAAACAAACAGATGAATAATAGAATAACTGAAATGAAGACTATACTAGAAGGAATCAATAGCAGAATAACTGAAGCAGAAGAATGGATAAGTGAGCTGATAGACAGAATGGTGGGAATCACTGCTGCAGAACAGAAAAAAAGAAAAAAGAATGAAAAGAAATGAAACAGCCTGAGAGACCTCTGGGACAACAAAAATACACCAACATTCACATTATAAGGGTCCCAGAAGGAGAAGAGAGAGAGAAAGGACCTGAGAAAATAGTTGAAGAGATAATAGCTGAAAAATTCCCTGACATGGGAAAGGAAATAGTCACCTAGGTCCAGGAAGCACAGAGAGTCCCAGGCAGGCTACACCTAAGGAGGAACACACCAAGACACATAGTAAGGGAAAAGCAACAGATAACACACAAGAGAATTCTCATAAGGTAATCAGCTGATCTCTCAGCAAAAACTCTACAAGCTAGAAGGGAGTGGCACTATATATATAAAGTGAGGAAAGGGAAGAACCTACAACCAAGAATGCTCTAACCAGCAGGGCTTTCATTCAGGTTCAACAGAGAAGTCAAAAGCTTTACAGACAAGCAAAGATAAGATTATTTAGCACCACCAGACCAGCTTTGCAACAAATGCTAAAGGAACTTCTCTAGGTGTAAAAGAAAAGGCCACAACTACAAATGAGAAAATTATAAATGGAAAAGCTCAGCGGTAAAGGCAAACATACAGTAGAAGTAGGAAATCATCCACACACAAATATGATATCAAAGCCAGCAGTCGTGAGAAGAAGAGAGTACAAATGCAGGATACTGGAAATGTACTTGAAATTAAAAAACCAGCAACTTAAAACAATCTTGTTTGTTTATATACAGACTGCCTTTATCAAAACCTCATCGTCAACTGCAAACTGAAAATTCACAATAGGTACACACAAAAGAAAAATGAATCTAAACACAACACTAAAGTCAGTCATCAGATGACAAAGGAAGAGAACAAGCGAGGAAGGGAAGAAAAAAGACCTACAAAAAGAAATCTAAAACAATTGACCAAATGGCAGTAAGAACATACATATCAATAATTACTTTAAGCATAAACATCAAATGCTCCAACTAAAAGACATAGACTGGCTGAATGGATACAAAAGCAAGACCCATATATATGCTGTCTAAAAGAGACCCAGTTCAGATCTAGGGACACATACAGACTGACAGGAGATGGAAAAAGGTATTCCATGCAAATGGGAATCAAACAAAAGATGGAGCAGCAATACTCATATCAGACAAAATAGACTTTAAAATAAAGACTGTTACAAGAGACAAAGAAGGACACTACATAAGGATCAAGGAATCAATCCAAGAAGAAGATATAATAATTGTAAATACATGTGCCCCAAACATAGGAGCACCTCAATATATAAGGCAAATGCTAAAATCTGTAAAAGGAGATTTAACACCCCATTTTCATCAATGGACAGATCATCCAGATAGAAAATCAATAAGGAAACAGAAGCCTTAAGTGACACATTAGAACAGATAGACTTAATTATAGGACATTCCATCTGAAAGCAGCAGAATACACTTCTCAAATGTACATGGAACATTCTCCAGAATAGATCACATACTGAGACACAAATAAAGCGTTGGTAAATTTAAGAAAATTGAAATCATATAAAGCATCTTTTCCAAATACAAAGCTATGAGATTAGAAATCAATTACAGGAAAAAAACCTGAAAAAAACACGAACACCTGGAGGTTAAATTTGGTAAAGTTACAGGATACAAAATTAATACACAGAAATCTGTTATATTTCTATACACTAACAATGAAAGATCAGAAACAAGAATTAAGGAAATAATACCATTTACTATTGCTTCCAAAAGAATAAGATACCTAGGAATAAACCTACCTAAGGAGGCAAGAGACCTTTATTCCAAAAACAATAAGATGCTGATGAAAGAAACAGAAGGTGACAGAAACAGATGGAAAGATATACCATGTTCTAGGATTGGAAGAATCAATATTGTGAATATGACTGCACTACCCAAGGCAATCTACAGATTCACTGCAATCCCTATCAAATTACTAATGGTATTTTTCACAGAACTAGAACAAAAAAATTTAAAATATGTATGGAAACATAAAAGACCCTGAATAGGCAAAGCAATTTTGAGAAAGAAAAACAGAGCTGGAGGAATGAGGCTCCCTAACTTCAGACTATGCTACAAAGATACAGTCATCAAAGCAGTATGGTACTGGCATAAAAAACAGAAATATAGATCAATGGGATAGAATAGAAAGCCCAGAAATAAACCCATGCACCTACGGTCAATTAATCTACGACAAAGTAGGCAAGAATATACAGTGCAGTGGAGAAAAGACAGTCTCTTCAATAAATGGTGCTGGGATAAATGGACAGCTACAAGTAAAAAAATGAAATTAGAACATTCTTTAACACTATGCATAAAAATAAACTCAAAATGGATTAATGACCTAAACTTAAGACTGGATACTATAGTACTCTTATGGGAGAACCTAGGCAGAACACTCTTTGACATAAATCGCAGCAGTATCTTTTTTAATCCATCTCCTAGCATAATGAAAATAAAAACAAAAATAAACAACTGGGACCTAATTAATCTTAAAAGCTTTTGCACAGCAAAGGAAACCATAAACAGAATGAAAATACAACCCACGGAATGGGAGAAAATATTTGCAAATGCTGTGACAGAAAAGGGATTAATCTCCAAAATTTACAAAGAACTCATGTAGCTCAATGTCAAAAAAACAAACAACCAGAAGATGGCAGAAGAGTAAGACGCGGAGATCACCTTCCTCCCCACAGATACATCAGAAATACATCTACATGTGGAACAACTCCTACA